GAAAGCCCTTCGAGCAGGATACTACTGGCCGACGATGCAGCAGGATGCCAAGGAACACGTCAAAAAATGTGATAAGTGCCAGAAGCACGGGGACATGCACCTCGCCCCTCCGCACGAGCTGAGCATATTGTCGTCCCCGTGGTCGTTCGCCTGGTGGGGTATGGACATCCTCGGGCCCTTCGTGCAAGGAACCTACCAGAATAAATTTCTCATCGTCGCCGTGGATTACTTCACAAAATGGATCGAGGCCGAGGCCCTCGCAAAAATCACCTCGCACAATATCCTCCGTTTTTACAAAAGAAACATCCTCTCCAGATTCGGAATTCCGCGGGCCCTGGTGACCGACAATGGTACCCAGTTCACCGACCACGGGTTCCAGGACTTCGTCACCAAACTAGGGACAAAACAACATTTCACGTCGGTCGAGCACCCTCAGACCAACGGGCAAGCCGAAGCCGCGAACAGAGTCATCCTCCGAGGACTCAAACGTCGACTCGGCAAAGCCAAGAGGGGATGGGTCGAGGAGCTCCACAGCGTCTTGTGGGCATACCGCACCACGCCCCACTCAACGATGGGCGAGACGCCATTTCGACTGACATATGGCACCGAGGCTGTCATCCCGGTCGAAATCATGGAACCATCCCGACGAACAGAGAACCCCCTCGACGAAGAAATGAACGACGAAGCACTAAGGGACGAACTCGACCTAGTCGAGGAAATCCGATCGGGTGCAGCCCTGCACGAAGCCACCCTAAAACAACGAGTGGCTATACGCCACAACGACAAGGTCATCAAGCGCGAGTTCGAAATTGGCAGCCTGGTATTACGTAGGAACCAGAAGGATTCCCGCGAAGGGAAGCTGGCCGCGAACTGGGAAGGACCTTATCGCGTCCACGCCACCACTGGTACCGGGGCGTACTACCTCGAGCAATTAGATGGAGAGCCATTACCACGACCCTGGAATGCTGCTAAGCTAAAGCAGTACTACAGTTAAAAACTACCAACACCTGGGACCCTCGACCAACGACACCCGCGCTCGGTCAACGAGGAAAAACGTCCGACTTCGTATAAAGGCTGAGGTACAAGCCCGACATACGGCTAAATCGCACAACATCGCTCGGCAAACGAGGATAATCGATAGTGCCCGACGTGGACAACTGCACCGAGCACCACCGTCGTTGTACCCGTAAGGCAGAACACCCAGCTCGCGATGGGCAGTTCATGCCAAGGGCGAATAGCCCCTACCAGGCTTCTCGCCCGACTGAGCAACTTCGCTCCACATGCCCGACAAGTCGTCAAGAATGACGGGCCATCTAAAAGGGTCAAAAGGAAGTCTCTCCCCTCGAGCGCAATACTTAGCTGACTCTGGCCAGCCAAAGAGGGCCGGGCACATATACAAACGGAAGACGGGCAGACTCGCCCGCTAAATCACAGCCACTTACGGGCACTCCTCGGGCCCATGACTTAGGCTAAATTTTATGCAAATATATAAAGATTTCAAACACGGGCAAAACATTCAAATGTAAAACAACATTCATTCAAATAAAAATGCCCGAAGGCGACAAAGCAAACAATTATAAACCGACCAAGAAGGTCGGCGATGTTCATAACGTACAACCGACGGGCACGCAGGCCCAAAAAATACAAATGTCAAAGGCACGCAGGCCCGCTATCCTACAATCAGGCTTCCCCAGAACCGTCATTGTCGACAACTGGAGAGTCGGGCGGGGGCACGATCACGCCATCCACGATCTGATGTGTGTGGCCCGTCCCCTCAGTGACCAAACCAGGATTTAACAAGGAAAGCTGACCGACTGCGGAGTCGAACCCCTCCTCCAGAGCACCGACGCAATCTGCCTCGAGTAGCCGGATATGGGCGACCAGCTCCGATCGACTCTTCAAACCCGCTATGTCTTCCGGTTCGTCCTCGCCAGGTAGCATGGCAACATTCATTTCCTCGATCTGTTGGGACAAGCGCCCGACTTCGGTCTCCAGACGATCCCTGTTCGCGCAGAGAAGCTCTCCCTCCTCGGCCAGCTTCCCCGACCTTTCTTTCTCCAGGACCAACATCTCTCTCTCAGCATCCAGCATCGATGTCTGCTCGCGGAACATCTCCTCGGAGCGTTCCAGGGCAGTCTTCAACTTCTGCGAGCTCGAGGTGAGAGCCGCTTTCTCCTGCTCAAGTTCTTCAATACGAACAGGATCCCCCCTTCCTCGGACAACACCAGGGCCATTTCGGCCATTTTCACCAGCCCGTCCATGCTGGCGGCCAGATGCCTCTTCCGATCCTCCTTACTCATCCTTTTGATAGTCTCAGCCTCGTCGGCAACCACTGACAGAGGGAATCTCTCGAAGAAACCCTCCTCTTTGAAACAAGGGGGAAACCCGAAAGACCTGACAGCGCTGGCGTCCTCGCTGACAGCCGGACCGCTTTCCACCCGGGTCCTCTTCCTTTGTATCAGGACGGCATTAGGATCGACCTCTTCAACCTCTGGGATCCCATCCGATGCGGCCCCCGAGCTGGGCGACGAATCCACCCTCACCACCTGAGGAGCGCCCGGACTGTGTGGCGGGCCCATCCTCGTCGCCTGGGGAGCCTTCACGACCCTCCTGCCTCGCTTCTGGTCGCAAGACAACTTCAAAAGTCTTTCCCGTCGACCGGCCATCGAACCTGCACAAAATAAAAGACGGGTTAGTGTCGAGCAAGTTCATAAATGAATGACGAGCAAAGAAATTCAGGCAATAAACGACCTAGCAGACGAGTAGCCTGCCTGAACGTCTGACACTCCACGAGTGCTTTAGTATCAATCGGCCGGGACTCAAATGTCGGATAACCCTCTGCATCCAAGACATCGTCCCCTTCCCTAGTGGCCCACCGGGCGGGGTGGAAGCTGTCGACGAACCGACAAAGAGTGGCGTACGCCTCCTCGTCCTCCGAACACATGTCCCCGACAGCTGTATGGTAGTATCCAGTCCCGTGCTCGTAGTGCCTGAACATCCAATGCACAGGGAACTTGGCTGTACGGGCCATCACAGGATACCCATCGTTGCCTAAGACCGCCTCCCCGTCATCATCGCTTATGGGCGCCTCCTCCTCGTACAGGGACCCTAAAGTAGATGTGGTAACTGGCCGCACGACATACCACTTGTCTTTAAAACCCTTCACGGAGTCCATGTACATTTTGAATAGTCTCCTCGACTGTTTCAAGGAGACCCAGCTGTGTTTCCCTCCTCGGGACTGGCGCTGCAGATGAAAAATTCTAAAGAAGAGCGGTATGGTCGCCCCGATCCTCAGAAAGCGACATGTCAGCTCAAACGCCCGGATAAAGGCGAGTGAGTTCGGGTGTAGCTGTGACGGGGCCAACTCCAGATGGGTGAAGACCTCGGTCTGAAAATCACTGAAGGGCAGCTGCAACCCAAGATCTTTGAACGCGATCTCGTACATCGGGAAGCTATACTCTGGGTACACCGAGCAGATCCGGGCACGGGAGGTCGGACGCATGACAACGAAATTCTTTTGGAAGTCAGGCTGGCCCTGGCCCGCTTCGAGGACAGCATATGGATTTCGGTCACCTCGGCTATATATCGACGCGATTCCTCGGGGCTCGGCGCCCACCCAATCCAGCAAAGGGTCGTCGACAATATCAATCAAGCTGACTGCCTCATCGGCACTTTGTTCCTCATGTTCGTGGCGTCCAGAGGAACACGGCTCGTCCGCCATGGTTACCTGCAGAGCACGGGAAACCAGTCAATTGGGCACGAAACCATACGCTCGATAAACCACGTCGTCCCATGCACGACCACAAAAGTCAGTTTGCACAAGTAACCGCATCCCCGACATCCAGAAAACTCGATGTGTTCTTCTCCAAACCGACTACGCGGCCACTCTCCAACATGTCGACCCAAGGTATGAACATGGCGAGCAACATCATGAGACCTACGGCCAGGACCATGAATATACCGGGCGCGATCATGAATCAGGCGCCCTGGATCATGAAGACCCCGGGCAGCACTGCTGATTATTACCTAAAACTATGAATCTACCGGCCACGAGCATGCGTTTGCCGGTCCTAAGCATGAATATGTCGAGCTAAGTATGAGTTTACCGGGCTAGTCCCACGCGCACAGTCCCTAAAACGTCTACAAACGCTGAAAATCATGCATTACAACAGGAAAATGAAGAAGATAAACCACTTACTTGAATCAAAAAGTGGATTCGGCTACGGAGTAAAAGAATCTGTAACAGAAGATCGCAGCTATGAAAAATCTGGAAGAACAGCAGCAGTGGGAGCGCAAAGAGTAGAAACGTGTTATGGGGCCCAAGGTTCCTATTTATAGTGATGACGTGGAATACCAAACGTCACCTCGGGCAACCACGGAGTTTCTCTCCCTGACGCATTGCTCCCAACGCAATGATGACCCTATCATCATAGGGTGGCGGCACAGTTCTCGAAAGATACCTCGTGTGCTCGACAGACACACGCCGGTGAGGATCCTCCGAGCATCCACCGCGGAAGATGTCTCCGAGCACGACACGGAGAGGTCCTCGAGGGCCTGCATCTCTGTCCCGGGCGCGAGACCCCGAAGCAGAAACGACCTGAGTTCAAGCCATGACTCATAACAAAGGAACCACGACTTGGGGGACTCCTGTTCTGGACTGGGCCCGACAGGCCCAAAAGCGTTGCTAAGGCCCAATCCAAATAGACTTGCTGAGAACCATGCCGACCAAAGGGTCACAGTCGTGCCCGACGTGCTCCCTGAAGTCGCGTGCTCGACCTCTACACCTCCAGCTCGACGTCCTGCTGTCCAGCTCGACATCACCTCGAGCACCCCAACCAGGGCAGACTCAGTCCACTGCACTCCCAACGAGGCCCCGGAAAGACCGCGTCTCCGTCCGCCCGCACTTCACGCGGAACATCCAGGAAGGGGACCACGTGCGGGTCCCTGCTACGCACGTAGAACCTGGCAATTCCTCCATTGGGCCAAACCTGCCCGGCCCAATGAAGGAACCTTGGCCCAGCGCTGAGGGCTATAAATACCCTCTGTTTCCAGAGGGTCAGGTATTCATCATTCTACCCATACACTTAATTATTGCCTGCTCGTGCTTCTACTTACTTCAGCATCAGAGTGCCTTGTAGGTACCCCCACATCGTTCAAAAAACTTTCAGCTCGGAGCCAGCCGTAACGGTCCATTTCTGATCAGGTCAGATCACAAACCGTATTAATTTGATTTGGTTTGATTCAAATTTATTTTTAAAAAACAACCTAATCAAACTGAAGGCATATTTTTTTTCTCTTGCAGTTCAACTAATTTTTTACTTCAAAATCGTCCAAATCGCACCGCAAACACATCTTCTTCCACGTACAAAAACGATACATACATAACCGCCCCAAGGCGTTGGCCGCCAACATGTAGAGGAGCCGCGTTTAATCGTCTCATTTCTCTTTTTCTTTTCTGTTTGGTCTTTGCGATGGCCCTCGAAGCATCAACCTTTGAAACCCTAACCCCTTCTCGCTTTATCTCCTTCACCATACCCAATCCATCATCCTCTTCACATGCACTCCTCCGAGTCGCTGTTCTTGACTCACCACTCCAACCCACTCACTCACCCCATGTCGCTGCTATGCTTGTTCCACAAGGCCGTGAAACTGATTGGATCTTCTCTACAAAATCTGGTCATCTCCAACTTCTCTTCGCTTCTCCACTACTATCCCGTTTCATTTTGATCGGTAACCACCCTGATTCTGAGTCTCATTCTTCAATTCATATTTATCACCGTCCATTGAATTGTTCATTGCATCATCAAGGATTTGATTTTCAGGTCTGGTCAAAACCTCTTCTCCTAGCTTTGTCTCCCAAATCTTTGTTTAAAAACGGTATCCCTCAGATACCGATTTTGAGTTACGAAGATAACTTGCTTTCGAGTGTAGTAATACATCAATGTGTTAGTTCTCATGTTGGTGAAATGCTGATTGAAGATGTCGAAATCGAATCTCAGAGTGAAACGCGAAGAGAGTTTCGGAGGCGGTTGAGGTTCAAGAGGATGCCTAATCTGATTCAAACAGAAGTGCTTATTGTTCCAGAGACGGATTCTAGTTTGAATACTTTATGTATTGAAGATGCAAAGTTTATGCTGGATCTTCGTGTTTTGGTTCACCCTTACTTGGCACCTATGGTGACTAGTCTTTCAATAATAAGTGAATCTATAGATGGACGGATTCGAAATGGGCTGAGACCGAAAGCTTTATGCCTTGGGGTTGGAGGTGGGGCTTTACTAACTTTTCTGACAATTCAATTGGGTTTTGAGGTCATCGGTGTCGATAGTGATAAGGAGGTTTTGAAGGTGGCCAAAAACTACTTTGGATTGGAAGAGTCTGAATTTATCCATGTTATCCTTGGAGACGCGGTTAAATATATGAAGAAACTAGCTTACCTTGGAGAACAACTAAGTAAGAATTCTTTTGCTGGTTCTGAGCTTGATGATTTTGGTCACTTGGTGAATGGTGAGGTAGCTCATAAGTTTGATGTTATTATGGTTGATTTGGATTCAAGCGTTGTAAGTGATGGTATAAGTTCTCCACCCTTGGAATTTGTTAGAAAGCATGTTCTACTTGCTGCAAAATTTGTTCTGTCTGAATTTGGAATTCTTGCAATTAATGTTATTTCTCCAAGTCAGTCATTCTATGACAACTTGGTAAATCATTTTCAGAAAGTTTTCCATGATCTGTACAAGATAGATGTGGGGAATGGTGAAAATTTTATTCTTATTGCCACAGTATCACCTCAGGTGTTTTCTGTTGGGGATTGTAGTAGCCCTTTTCTGTTGCAATTGAAATCAGTTATTCCAATAACATACATAAATTCCATTAGGAAGATATAATGTCTCATTTGTTGAAGCAAAAGTGCTTTTTAAAAATCTATCATATATACTTTTTCCATTGCAAAACTAATTGAAGATGTATTAAGAGTTATGGTACAATGATGCCAGACGAAGAATGTTTTTCTCATGTATCATTGCTCTTCTGTAGAAAAGTTGTTTAAGGAAATTGGCCATACACAGTAGAAAAGCAGTATTTTTTCTTGGATAGAACATTATGGCTGAGTTTGATCTATGTAGCCGACTTCAGTTAGTGAAATAAAACTTGATTGTTGTTAATTTGCTGGATTACGGTGAAGTTACTGTTTATTGATTGTTGCTCTCAACATTGGTTGAGTTGAAAACTGTACTGATAGGTTTGACATGGGATTGAGTGACAAAGGATGAGCCTAGAGTATGGGCAGTTTATGTGAGGAGAAATAAGAAAAGAGAGAAGGATGAGATGGCAGGGAGAGAAAGTGAGAATTTGTGGCTGAGTGTGGTTCAGTTATATGAAGTGGGACTTGTGGAGAGAGATGGTATCGGGCCAGAATTGTTTCTGTTTGGCCAGAGAATTGTGTTTCTGTGTAGAGCATTACTCTTGTAGGTAGTAGAGATTTATCTCTTCTGTATTTCCTTATTATCATCAATAAACACATACATTCCATATGCACTTCTCTGTTTCTGTTTAATTTCTTGCCTTTGTTATTTCTGTCTTGCAACATCTACTCATACTTTGTCAATAAATAGTCATAGAATTGTAATGATATTGATCTTCATTCTAGTTAATATTTAGTCTTACATTCCACAGAGCCTATTGTTATCACGAGTTTAATTGTTGGGTTCTGACCACGACCACCGTTGTCGGAGAAGGACTGGCTGCCGCTGCCATGGCAACAATTCAACCCGTGGCATCAATGGAGCCAATTCAACCCGTGGCATCAATGGAGCCAATTCAACCCGTGGCATCAATGGGCTCCGTGGAGCATGTCTTTGTGTCTTTATACTTCTTATATTTGGGGAAGCCCAACTGTTGTAAACATGACTCAACAACCCGACATACTTGGCTCAAACCTCAACAAACTGCTTTCTCTACTACTACACCGCCAAGTCTCAAACATAGAGTAGGTGATGCACACACTAAATATGGCTCAGCCTGATCCATCTTGGCACATGGAATACGGGAGAAACACCGCATATGACATCCGCCAATGGTAATCTCTTGTCTTATTTTAATTTGAGAAAAAGTGTAGTTGTTGGAAATGGTTAATCTATTCCTAGTCGAGGTTTTGGTAGAGCTAACCTGCCCCTCCCCCCTAATAAAAAACATACTTCATGCCTCCAAATTAATCAAAAACTTATCATGAAATGCGAGAGTCAAAGTGATTTATATCTTTATCACTACCACCAATAAAGTCGAATCTCATGTTCCCTTTGCAGCTTTGTCTTCTTCTATTTACCATGATCGTTTAGGTCAATTGGGAACACATGTTCCAGACTCCCGTAGGCAAAATAGATTGAGCAAATGTAATAACGTTCCACATTTGAATTCAGATTTTTTTCATTCTGGTAAACATGTTTTGTCAGTTATCAATTCTCATAATTTTTGAAATTTCGTTCGATTAAAGACAAGATGTCACACAATGTTGAACAATATGATTTAAAAGAAGCAAATAACAAATAAACAATTTAAATATATAGATAATTGTTAACTCAATCCGTTGTAACCCCATTTAAGTCTGGAGGGCATCAACCAAATGAAAGGAAATTCACTAAATTAGTAGTCAATAGTACACGACGGTTTCATCTAAATTCTTCTAGTTTAGTGCCCTTTTTCTAATACTACCATTTAATTTCGACTCAGACTTTCCCTAAATCTGAGATCTCTCACTTTCATTCAAACACTCTCCTAAATGTTTGCAATAAAACAATTAGATGTGGCGCGATACAAACTACTATTACATACCAAATACTCTATCATTCTAAGATAAAAAAGACCCTGAAACATAAAGTATTAATGAAAATACAAAGATTCACTAAAACAAACTACAACACACTTAAAAACTTCAAAAGGTATGGAGAATCATCTCCTTAAATAGAAAACAAAAACTGCAAGTTCAATATTCTTCTTTAAAACTGAACCTAAATCTCTGAATCTTTTACTAAATCAAATCTATTGTGATAAGTCTCTTTCACAAGGGTGATCGAACTGATCTCACAATTTTGTTGTTGTTGTTGCAGATAACTATTTAGGTATGTTACTTTGACATTGTTGGTTGAATCAATGTATAATTTGATCTGATTTGTGATATAAATGCTTTATTAGATGTCTAGATTTCACGTTGCAATCACTTGATACAACTTTCATTTTCATCTTTGATTAAAGTTCAATTCCAACATGTCTTAACTTTTGCTAATAGAACACTGTTGGTACCTTCACTCGAGTGAAAATAATTACTGGTGTGGTGACCTTGCTTATATTCATGCCTCTGTCACTTAGGCCCAACATTTCTTGTTTTTGGCTATAATGAAAACTATTATTTAGCCAATTTGGGTTGGCCTATTCATAACATCAAAAAGCGAAAAACTAATACTCACCAGTATCCATGAAATGGGAAATACAAATGAATAAACTACAACAACTAAGTCTTATCCCACTAAGCGAGATTGGTTACATGGATCAACTTTTGCCATAATGTTCTATTTAGGACCATGTTTCTATTCAAATTGTTAATTTCAAGATCTTTCTCAATAACTTCTCTTATAGTCTTTCTAAGTCTTCCTCTAGCCAAAAAATTTAGCAAAAAGATCAATATACATGGGAAATTGAGAACAGTCACATTGAATATTGAACAATAAATCATTTTAGGATATAGTTTTCCATATTTAGTTTACAAGTAATTTTACCTAATACCATTTTGTCCGGCGATTCTCAGTTTTCATATTAATTTATTCCATGTATGATTATCGTTTCTGGAAGTTTAAAAACTTGATGCTGTACGCAAATACAAAAAGGAAGAGAAGGCAAAAAGCAATATGAGCCAAAACAACAAATCCAAGGAAGTCATGTTCAAAGCCCAATCGCCTCTCAAGATAATCTTTTACTGTCATGAGCCTATCTCCAGGTACCTCTATTGGACTATTCTTATCACCCACCTGGGATGTCACCAGTCCATATATAGTCCATGCCACGGGAGATGCCCAATAATACCACCTCCACCATATTGGAATTTGCTGCAAAGTGGAAAACAATTATTACATGAAATATTGGATGATGTATTAAAAATTAGAATAGCAATATATTTTCAAGGACAAGTGTTCTACAATATGTTCAGTAATTGTGTGAAATATAATCCGTAATGCTAGTTAGTATGCTCTATCCATTTGTGTTATCTTATGGTATGAAGAGTAAGAAATATTTTTTTAATCTTTTCTGATCATACACATACCGTTCTTGGAATAAGAAAACCAGAGAATAGGTTCCAAAAACTGATGAAGAAAGACATCACGATGGCAGCAATTTGGTGGCTTGGTGTCAGGGCCACTGTCATCATTCCATATAGTGTGAAGTAGATAAAGGACATGAATATGAAGAAGTAGAACCAAAAGAAGTTTTCGACTTGTGGTTCGAACCCAATCATCCAGTACAGGATAGTGGAGTATATCAGACTTTGGATTGAAACATAAATTACTTCAATCGCAATCTGCAAAAATAGTTGTTTTAATGCACTGTGTAGTTTTGCTAAGCTATCGTTGTTACTATTCTTTTAAGCAAAGGAATTTGATAGTTTCACCTGACCAATTGCATAGGGCAGTTCTGAGTACAATCCAGCTGCTCTTTCACGGTAGAGAACTGTTCTTTCTATTGCAATAATAGGTTGCACACTGCTAGTGTTGGATGCACCAAGGAAAATAACCGAGGAATACATAGCTCCAACAAGATTTAAAAGGTCTTGTTCCTTTTGTCTGCAAACATGATATTTTAATTTTCTCATGTAATATATACAATTGTGAAACCATTTATTTTAATAACATTATCATGAACATTTAGAAAAATAAGTTGTTGATTGCATTTGTTCTCAGATAAGAATTTGAGAATGGGGTTGTTGTCATAAGCCAGCTTTTGCACCGTCGTCCTATGTTTAATGATATTTTGGGGCAATTATGGAAACATGTCATTGTGTATTGATGTTAGAAACAATGTCAAAGTTAGAATGTATTGGCAAAGTATAATACTGTCAAATAACATTAAGACTTACATCTTATCTCCTTTTTTCCAATAAATAAGTCCAAACAAAACACCAATAACTATTGTGATGAAGAATCTGATGGCATTGTACTGCGGATTCCTCCAATAGGAGCAGTACTGTTTCCAGAAGCAAGCATTGCATTGAGTAAGAAATGGTTGTGAGTATTTAGATGGAAAGTAAAGGTCCTTTGTTCCAGGTGCTGGTGTGGATAGTTCCTTGATAAGTTCATGGCTCTTTCTGGATTTTTTTAATTCAAAGCATCATGAGACATTCCAGGCAAATATGGGTAAAAAGAAACAAGAGTCTCTCAGAATATAGGAATGACTGAGTGTCACTTACTCGTAAAGGCTTGACTTATTGTATAATTCCGCAAAATCTATAGCAAGCTGAGACTCAACCACAGGAGAAGTGATCTCCAGCATCCATGTAGCTGGATTGTATCCATCTTCAATCTTTGGAATTCCTGTAATAGCCTGAAAAACGTTATACACAATCTGTTAGGTTACTGACATCTAACTAATTGAGTTTATACATTATCAGGGAAAAGTTTACCTCAAAGTACTCGATAAGTTTCTCAGAATTTTGACCTAGAGGACCACCATATATCACTTGTCCACCCGTCTTCAACAAAAGCAGCTATACTCAAAATGGGCCAAGGGTTAGTAATTAGTATAGTTCCTTCTAAATCATTATAGCATTAACAATTTCTTTTCTTGTTATTCGTATTTACCTCATCAAAATGTTCAAATATATCAATGCTTGGTTGATGAATTGTGCACACAACAGTTCTCCCTGTATCCACTGTGTTTCTAATTGTACGCATAACAACCGCTGCAGCTCTAGCATCAAGACCAGTTGTTGGTTCATCCATAAAGATAATGGAAGGATTCGCAACTAATTCTACAGCAATGGTGAGCCTCTTTCTCTGCTCAGTTGATAAGCCATCTATTCCAGGAAGGCCGACTAAGAAATTTCTCACTAGATGTAACTCAACTAGCTCTATAACTTCCTCAATAAACATCTGAGGATAATAGTAGACTTGTAGACAATTAGAATCAGATGGAGTGTCCTCTTAATCAATGTTCTGTTTAGTTAGTTTTTTCTCCATTTTCATTTTTGTCTATTATTATTGTTACTGAAAAAAAGGGGGGCTTCTTATCATCTAGCCATGCATTGGGTTTGGTAATAAATACTTGATTCCTTGCTAACCACATGAAATAAACTTAACGTGCATGAAATTTACATATGAAAAGAGGCATTTCAAAAATTCTGATATAAGAGCCTATGAGGACGGGTTTAACATGAAAATTGATTTAACAGCAACGTACCTTTCGTGTTTCTATATCGACCTCTTTACTGAGCCGCAACCAAGCAGAAAACAGAAGCGATTCATAAACTGTAATATTGGGAGAGTGGATATCATTTTGTTCACAATAACCGCTAATCCGAGCAAAAGTTGCTTGGTTCTTGTGATAACCCGATATGCTGATACTTCCTTCTATGTGACCACTTGTTTTCCTTCCTGCAAGCACATCCATCAAAGTTGTTTTTCCTGCACCACTTACACCAACTAATGCTGTTAAAATTCCAGGCCTAAAAGCACCACTTATGTCTCTTAGTAGTTGGAGTCTATTCGCTTCAATTCCTTGCTTCTTCATTTCCTGATGACAAACTACTTAAGTTACATTTGGGAGTTGTGATACTGTAACACATTTTCAAAATGATTTTAAATTTACTATTGAGTATTTTAACTATGATGCCTAATCATTTTCCTTGCACCTATACATATACCTTTTACCCCTCAATGTTTAATCAGTGTGTTTTAATTATAAATGAGTGTGGAGAAAAAGAATAGATAGTTGTCACAGCTAGAAAAATACAAATGTTAAAGCTAAGAATAAAATGATTGGATATAATACAAGAGGGAGAATAAGAATTTACATTTGGCATATCGATATGATAATTCACATTTTCAAAAACAAGTGACAGAGGCTGGAAGGGTAACACCATTCCCTTCCTGAATTTTGCATTCTTTGCAGCTTTAGGAATAGAGCTACGTGTGTTGTTTCTTACTTCCATGTCAACACCTGTAGTAATTACAATTATCTTTTCATTCATTTCCAATTGGCATGAAAATTTATAGTAAATTGACGAATTTTATCAGTTTAAGAATTACTTATTATTTGAAATATTTTAAGGACAAAATAGGAGAAACAGCGATACTTAGGGGGCTAAATTGATGTTTTATTCTATAAATTGTTTTACATGAAAATAAATTATATCTTTCTATTATCTCATTGAGGGTAGTTGCTTTTATCATTTATTATTTACCTTCAAACAATTCAACATTTGAAGCTGAACTCTCTGTCATTTCTCCTGTTGTTCTTTTCAGTGAGGAGGATGCCGGTGTGGTGTCCCTATTGTCTTCTTGTTCCACCAAGATAGATTTTGAGCTTCTGAATGCTGCAATTTAATTTCAAAGTGATGTCAGAGGGTTTTCATGCGAAGGATTTTCGAAATGGTTACTGTCTTTCATGCTGCAAGGTTGGTGGCTTTTCTTTTCTTGATATAGTAATCTAATAAGCATCTTTATAGTGTTCCTTTATAAAAATTATATATTAATTTAAGAAACAAAATTTTAGAGATGAAAACATGCAATATCAAGGAAGAATAGGATAGAAACCTACGGTCCAAGTAAGTTAGAGCAAGAATGAAACAGACATTGAACAGTAGAGAAAATCCAATAAGAGCACCGATAGATATCCAATACCAATAGTCTTCTGTAAATATGCCTCTGGCCTTAAGTAATGCCTTCCCAACTGTGGGTTCATCAATTCTAGGGTCCATATTAGGCTGTGAAAAGTGAAGAATTAGTAGTCACGTAAGGTTATAAGGTTGAAGACCAATTATTATCTCAATAGGAATAAGATCTCACAGTACTCCATCTTTTGTCTAGAAATTCATTGATGCTTATTGCAGTCATTCCATACATCATAGGGGAAGCATAATAGCACCATATCATCCATGGCCCAATATCATCTATATGTGGTGAGAGGGTTTGCAGTGATCAGATAAAAAGAATCAATTTCACATGAAAAATAAGAAATCTTATGTAATATTGAAAAATTATTAAGTTGTATAGATGTATAAGGAGATATTGTTACTTACCTCTTGAAACAGTAAATCCACTTAGGACGAAAACAACTAAAATAGTTATGGAAGCAAATGTGTTAGCCACAACTCTTGTCCTTCCAATTGCAGCAATGAACCGGAAAAGGGATAGAGCCATTTGATTCACACAGAAGAATGCTAGTAGTTGACGGAAAAACCTGTAATAAGCATTTAGATGCATAATTGAACAAAATTTGCCAGTCAATACAGAAAATTAAAATGATTGAATAGAATTGCAATCAATTCATTTTTATACAACAACCACCAAAGCCTTTTCCTGCCAGGCGACGGTCTAAGTGAATCAAACAATGTTGAAATATTCTTTTATCGGTCATATCTAGTGATAGTTGACAATTAATATAATTCTAAGTCCATTTTTCTTCATATCACATAGCTGTCTCCATCTACCTCTAGTTAGTAGAGACTAATCTCCATTTGGTTTATTCTTATTAATATTTGCGCAATTCCAATTTTCTCTCTGATGCTTTTATTCTTAATTTTATCTTATCTTTTGTGAACACATTTGTCTTAACATTCTCACATGTCAAACTACCTCAGTATAGATTGCATTCTCATACCTACTAGGTGCTGGAGCAAAACCGATAGTATAATAAGTGAGGATGATCCATAATACCGATTCCACTATAGAGAGAGGAATTCTGAGGACCCAAATGGGCAGTGCAAAAGCCCATGCGGGATAAAATAAGAAATCTCTCTGCTTGAAGAAAACAGGAATTCTGTTAACAGTCATTGCAAGTTCTGCTGCTCCGTTGAACATCACATTAATAAGACTGAAAAACAGTGCACCATAATATTTCCCCCCATCCTCAAGTTGACCATGCTCCATTTTTGTTCTAAAAAATACTGTCATTGTAATTATAGACATGATAGTAATCTGAAAAGTCTTAAATATGTAAACAAAATAGCTACGCTTCATGAATAGCCATTCTCTTGAAAAACATGCCTTGAAAAGTTCCCATTTGGGGATTCCATACTTTTCCTTCACTAATGCAGCATGATGAGTTTTACTAGAATCAAAGGGAACTTGAATCTCTTCATGAAGTTGTTTACCAATGCGGTAATTGTTGAAGTGGGTTACAAAATCAGGCACACTAACGTACTGATAAGGTATGTCCCTTCTAAACCAGTACTGTTCTTGGTCCTTTCTAGAAGTTACCTCTTGTAAAAAGTCTGCAATTCCTTTCCTTTCTGGGCACTTGAAGCCCACACTTTGAAAAAAATCTAGAACACTCTCACGTGGACCTTGATAGACAATCTCACCTTCTGAAAGTAATACTATGTCATCAAAAAGGTTATATGTTTCTGGTGCGGGTTGAAGAAGTGAGATTATCATAGCGACATCCATGATATGAACCATCTGCCTCATAAACCTGACAATTTGGAAGGTTGTAGAACTATCCAAACCAGTAGAAATTCCATCCATAAAGAGGGCTTTTGCCGGTCCCACCAACATCTCACCTGCAATACATTTATATGAATTAATATTCATATTTATGAGAATTGACAAAATGAATGATTCTGTAAAGAAAATTGATAAAGATTCATCTATACTGTACCATTCAAGAAATGCTATAGCAGAATCAATAACATATGCTATTCACTGTCTTGCTTCGGAATATTGTTTCTCTTCTATAAATACAGGTGCAATTCAAGAAACACAAATGACACTTACCAGTGGTTAAACGCTTCTTTTGTCCACCTGATATGCCCCTTCTCATCTCATCTCCCACCAAAATATCAGAACACATTTCCAACCCAAGAATCTATTGTATATTAATTTAGATTGATGAAAGTTGGATTAATGTTGACTAAAATGGAATCAACTTAAAATTAAAAGTAATAACATAACCAAACCTTGAGAATATAATCTGTAACAAGACTCGTTTCTTGACCTTCCATTGACGTGGCTTTCATGAAAGCATCTATTTCAGGATCTGGTTTGACACCTGATGCTTTTTCTCGTCTTGATAATTCTATCAACATATCATACCTTGTTCCAACACCTAAGCAGCGTCCGGAGAAGTCCAGCGTCTCTCTCACTGTCATTTCTCCATGATGAAGATCATACTGACTAATATAAGCGCATGTTCTTTGAGGAACAAATTCTGACAACTCATGACCATTGTAAGTCACTCTTCCTGATACCTGTAGAGAATTTATTTATTTATGTTGCATAGTTAAACATCTAAATTTCTGTTATTATTACTAGGATGTTAGGCACATGTTTGTTATAACTTTGAATGACCAGTTATTATTACAAATGTTAGGAACATAGTCACAACTATTGACTATTGAGCTACTATGCATTTATCATTTCTAAAAGGGAATTAGGAGGGGAAGACCAACCCTTAGATCCTTGTCCATTTTCCCAGAAAGTGCCTGAAGCAGTGTAGTTTTTCCTGAACCTGGAGGTCCCAGTAATAAAGTCATTCTGAAAAGAGAGACAGAAAATAACATCCAAGTTACCAATATATTCTCTATTTATTTTGATAATGTCAAATATAATCGCCATCTCTTATTTAGCTGTTCATTCTCATACTCAAACAATATATGAATTGCTGTCTATAAAATGGTTTTTATGTACATTCTCCAAAATAAATTGTATGATGAACCATCCTCTATATATAGAGAGAGAAATAACTAGAAAGGAATACAAGTAAGTTTTGAAGCGTTCATATAGCATCACTAATTAAAGTACCTTGATGGTTTTACAATTCCACTAACATCTTTGAGAATCTTCACAACCCTTTTCTTAAATGCCAAAATCTTGATATAACCCAAAAGTCCCTATTTCCACAAACACATATAAGATCATAAGCCACTGCATGACTAAGTTATATTAAGAAACAACAAGTTATTTAAATCACGTTTATCTACATATTATGAAAATACAGAAACAACAAACTAAAAAAACAAAAAGCTTCTGTTATTTAAATTTAAAATTTAAGTGAGACTAGTTAGTTTCACTGAAATAATGTGTTAAATGAATAATATATAAAATAATTGACTCATACACAACTAGAGTCGGGTATGTGATCCGAGTTTCATGAACTAGCCTGTTTAATCCGCGGAGTTTTGTACTATTTTTTTAGCCCATTTAAATATTTCTTTTCCATCCTATAAGAAAAGAAATACCCTATGCAATTTTCAAATAGGGTAGGTAATGTGGTGATGCTAATTGTAAAAAAAAAAGAAAAAGGAATAATTGGAAGCGGCATTAAAAAAAGGAATAATTGAAATCGGATCTCCTTCCCAGCAACATGAAATTATTTAATATATCTATTAAACAAAACTCCAATTTTCTATAAAAAATAATTCTTGTGTACGTTACATTAATATTATAATAATTTACCTTACTTTTTAATGTATTTAAAATTATAGAGATCAAGATTGTATCTAATACAAATTGTCAATGAATTAAAATTGAAACCATACTTCAATTATATTGAGGGTAGCATTGATTAGTGTTGGCAAAGCCCTGGTTCCATCATATGCATCCCCTTCAACTGATAGATTCTCAAACCGGACTTCAATCTTAGGAATCTCAATTCCTACCCTATAACAACATCAACAACCAGTTACTACAACCTTGCAAAAAAAAAAAAGATGAACTACAAAGTAAAAAAGCAATTCAAATCTCTACCTATCAATTCTGTCTCTCATTTTTTGGAGAAAATTCTCATTGTCTATTTCAGCAGTCTTTATTATGCTCTCCAAAAGATGCTTCTTTTCCTCTACTCCAAGCTTGTTGATATCAACTTCTTCATACTCTGCTTTTCCATTATCAAGAACTTGCTTTAAAATCACTTTTCTCATTCTATCATATGTTGGAAGCCTCCATAACGCCTCCCATTTCGCCTCCTCTTCATCGCTTCTCTCATGGAAGCTTGCCGATTTTTCGATCAACTCTGCAAAACTCTTCCTCCTCCTTCCATCACTAACTGCCCTCACCATATCTTTTTCACCCGTTTCTGCTTCCATATCAATCAAATATGGTATTGTCTTTTGTTTTCCTTGTACTTCTAAATTATCATAAAAAAACTCAAAATAAACCAAGGATCAATGATTCATTACTCACACGTTAAATTCATTTATGATAAAACGATATGCATGCATGGAAATTTCAGGTTTTAGAGCACTGCATGTATATATCTCAAGAAAGAAAGAAAAAAGCATTATGCAAATGAAAAAGATGAATGAAGAATCACATAATACTTCAATGATGGAAATGAGTTATATCGTTATAATTATAATAATTTGTAGGAGTCTAATGTCAAGTGAAGAGTTTTTAATATTAATATTATTATAATTAATTAAGACAACATGCAATGAGCCAAACAGTGCAAAGGTTATGATGAGTGCCGACTCAGGATGTTACCTGCGTTGCAAACTACATTAACTATATGACAAATGAATTAAACTAAGTAGAAGTATCATATTTTCTTTCATTAGCAAAAAAATTAATATATTTTTTTCTTCTAATGAAGACAAAATTGGTGGCAACAGCTAGCTTAACAATAGTTTAGCAAAAGATACACGAGCAAATATTTAAAGCAATTTTTATGAATATTTTGTCTTCAACTAGATTGCCATGTAGTATATGTGTTGCACGAGATATTATTATATATGGAGTGCGAATCAAATTAAGTCCGCTCGTAATACGGATAATTTTAGGGAATTGCTCTTTCCACTTTAAAATTTGCTCTCACACTCTAGAAAAAGTCAATTATTTTAGAATTTAGAAATGTATTTCTGAAAGCATCTAAATTCACACAATTAATTCGTAAGTGAGTCAGACCTTAATTTTATGCTAAAAATTAAGACAGAAATAAATCTCTATAAATTACAAAAATGTACTTTTAGACACGTTTTTAATAAAATACGCGATTGACTTTTCTCCTTTCTCATTTCTCTTTTACTCTCTCAAACACTCAAAATCTCAAAATTTCTCTACTCACTTTCAAATTTTTACTCTCAACAATCAATCAATTAATCAATCAATCAAAGAGTTTAACATCAAACTCACATTTGATAAGCTTTTTATTTCTCTCTATATTTTTTATTTCTCTATATATTTGTAGAAATTGAGCATTAAGTTGTGTAATAGGTAGTTTAGATAGGTTATTTAACTGCAATGTGTTTGATAGATAATTTAGATGAACAATGTGTTTTGAGCATGTTTGGTTTTCATGTATTTCTGTCATTTTTTCGTATTTTTGAGTTGCATATTAATACATAAATTCACTTTTGAAATTGATAAAAATTTGATTTTCCAGAAATCTAAAAAATGCATTTTTCGTATTTAGTTTGTCTACATTATTTGACATTATTTTCATTGTGTTTCGTTTGGATAATGCTTGTGTGATTTAATTATAGTTATTATGGTTGATAATCAAGCTAGATTGAGGCTCGATAGAGTGTGACAACATGCATCGATTCATAGGGAAAGAGCCCGACTCTCGCAGGCACAGATCGATTCTAATTCGTTTGATGTAGAGGCGTTAACTTCTGGGGTTCATGCATCTCTTGATACCTTAGAAGTCTCACCGGTCCAGGTTGAGGCATCCTAGGTTGATGTTGTTCTTGAAGGGTTTAGAGGAGCCTCGAACGACTTATTGTTGCTGCCTCTATATCTGAAATATGTTGTCACACATGTGTGAGACAGAGAGATAAAATCCACTGTATTTATTATTTGAAACACATGTGTTATAATATTCAAATTTTTTGATGATGATTTATTTTTCTGTAGGACTGTGATATTTTAAAATGCATCAGCCATGGTCAAAAGATTGTGAGCCTGACATAGCTTGAAGAGTGGTGGTTTCAGGATGTGATGCAACTATCTGAGTTGTGAGACTGATTATTCTATTAGGGGTGGTCAAAACCAAACCGGCCTAATAGAAAACCACAAAATCAAACTGAACCAAACTGAAACCGCAAAAAATCGCATTTGATTCAGATGTGTTTGGGTTATTTTTTAATGGAACCGCACGGCTCAGTTTGGTTTGCGGTTTGTATTTTGCAAACCGAACCAAATCAAACAAAACCGCATTATGTTATAAAATCTTCTTAGCCAATATATATTTCTTTAATTCTTTAGAGAAATCAACATGTATTATGTGTATATTTTATCATATTTTGTATGATATTTATTTTAATTTATAAATCATAAAAAATAAAATATTATTCATTTATAAATACTATTTTCACAAAATATATTTTATCGTATTCTTTGTATAATATTTATTTAAGAATGCGGTCTTGTCTATATCATTCTTTAGATTTAGATAAAATTATAATACACAATTCTATGTATCAAATTATAAATTAATTTTGACAATTATACATTTTTTTATGGTAATGTATGAACAATTAAACACAAAATTATATTTTTCTCTATATGTGTATGTATGATTTAATATTTTTTTTATATAAAAAACGAAACAATCCAAACCGAATTAGTTTGGTTTGGTTTGATTCAGATTTATTTTTAAAAGCTAACCGAATCAAACCGAATCACATGTTTTTCTCTCTTGCGGTTCATGTGGTTTTTTTACTTCAAACTCTCTCAAAATCTCTCAACTTACTTTCAAATTTTTACTCTCAACAATCAATCAATCAATCAAAGAGTTCAACATAAAACTCACATTTGGTAAGCTTTTTATTTCTCTATACATTTTTTATTTCTCTATATATTTGTTGAAATTGAGCATTAAGTTGTGTAATAGGTAGTCTAGATAGGTTATTTAACTACAATGTGTTTGATAGATAGTTTAGATGAACAATTATTTTGAGCACGTTTTGTTTTCATGTATTTCTGTCATTTTTTCGAATTTTTTTGAGTTGCATATTAATACATAAATTCACTTTTGAAATTGATCAAAATTTGATTTTTCAGAAATCTAAAAAAATGCATTTTTCATATTTAGTTTGTCTATATTATTTGACATTATTTTTATTGTGTTTCGTTTGGATAATGCTCGTGTGGTTTAATTATAGTCATTATGGCTGATAACCAAGCTAGATTGAGGCTCGACAGAGTGTGACAACATGCATCGATTTGTAGGGAAAGAGCCTGACTCTCGCAAGCATTGGTCGATTCTAATTCGTTTGATGCAGAGGCGTTAACTTATGGGGTTCATGCATCTCTTAATACCTTAGAAGTCCCACCGGTCCAGGTTGAGGCATCCTAGGTTGATGTCGTTCTTGAAGGGTTTGGTGGAGTCTCGTACGACTTATCGTTGCTGCCTCTATATCTGAAATATATTGTCAGGCATGTGTGAGACAGAGAGGTAAAATCCACTATATTTATCATTTTAAACACATGTGTTATAATATTCAAACTTTTTGATGATGATTTATTTTTTTGTAGGACTGTGATGTTTTAAAATGCATCAGCCATGGTCAAAAGATTGTGAGCTTGCCATAGCTTGAAGAGTGGTGGTTTCAGGATGTGATGCAACTATCTGAGTTGTGAGACTTATGTAATACTGGTTATTCTACTAGGGGTGGTCAAAATCAAACCGACCCAATAGAAAACCATAAAACCAAACCGAACCAAACCGAAATCGCAAAAAGCTGCATTTGGTTCGGATGTGTTTGAGTCATTTTCTAACAGAACTGCGCAGTTCGGTTCTGTTTGCGGTTTGTATTTTGCAAACCGAATCAAATCAAACAAAATCGCATTATGTTATAAAATCTTCCTAACCAATATATATTTCTTTAATTCTTTAGAGAAATCAACATGTATTATGTGTATATTTTATCATACTTTGTATGATATTTATTTTAATTTACAAATCATAAAAATAAAATATTATTCATTTATAAATACTATTTTCACAAAATATATTTTATCGTATTCTTTGTATAATATTTATTTAAGAATGTGATCTTATCTATATCATTCTTTAGAGTTAGATAAAATTATAATACACAATTTTATGTATAATATTATAAATTTATTTTGACAATTATATATATTTTTATGGTAATGTATGAACAATTAAACACAAAATTATATTTTTCTCTATATGTGTATGTATGACTTAATATTTTTTTTGTAAAAAACGAACCAATCCAAACCGCATTAGTTTGGTTTGGTTTGATTCAGATTTATTTTTTAAAAGCCAATCGAACCAAACCAAATCACATATTTTTTTCTCTTGCGGTTCATGTGGTTTTTTACTTAAAAATCGCACAAACCGCACCGCGAGCACCCCTATATTCTACTATTAACTATGGTATACTGTCATCGCTTGCATGTGGAAGACCAAACAATTGACAACTAGTTGCACGTTGTCGACAATAATATACTTACATCATTTACTGTTTCATAACACTTGTACTACACAATTACTAATAATTCATATGTACCATTTTCAGGTATGGATCCTTGAGCAATTGTCACGCATATCTAGTTGATCATATGTTGATATGTCTCGTGCTTGTGTATTCACTCTGCTTAGAGGGAATAAGGCGATAGTGCCCTTCAAAGTGTATTTTGAGTTCACAGTAGCAGATGATATACACTTTTAGGCGTACGAAAATCACTGTCAAACACGTCCCTTAGATGACATAACATTCTACTCTAGGTGGTTGACTTATGGGTCACATCTGTTGTATCCACATCTGTGCGAGTGCATCATACGCCAATTCAGGTATATGCATTTTGTTCCAAGAGACCCCTCTGATTCATATCTTTCTATTATGCTTCGTAGAGATGTAGATGTTATGTATGCTGATTTTATTAATCATCTGATACCGACTGAAGCAGGAGGTACAATAACTCCCAGAAATTGGAGTTGTGCATTTGGCTACGTCTATTGGTATTAGAGTGTCACATTCTTACGTGACATCAGATAATCTAGAAGATCTACCTAAGCTAGTTCATTAGGAGATTTCGATGAGGAGTATGTTAGGGTATATCATGTTATTGATGTGGTGCCTAGATGTCGACGTATTATGGATTTTGTGCAAGC